GGAATCAAAGCCGCCGCTCCCCTCCCCGCCACGCCGCACCCCTGCCGAGCGCCGCGCACCTCCTCCTTTGTCACAATGTTTTTCAATCCGGTGAAGCAAACTGTCCAATTAGAGCCGGGGCCTCCGGCTTCCATCTTTGCCGACGTTTAATTAACATGCTCCTCTTGGCAGCTGCTGACAAGTTCCAGAAACAGGTTGTAAAGGGTTTTTGTCTTTACCCAGCATGGAAAATGAGGGGTGTTACATCGCGGGAACATGAATAGGTTGCATTTCAGATCCCTCCTCGCTCCCTCCCCTCCTCCCGCCCTGGTGAGAGGGGTGGAGCCGTGTGTGTGTGTGTGTGTGTGTGTGTGTGTGTGTGTGTGTAAATTGTGAGGGGGCGCGGGGAGGGCGGAGTTGGCGGCCAGAAAGACCTCATCCCTCTCCCCTCACCCCGTCTTCCCAGGAGCCCTCGCTCCACAAAAGATCTGGATTCTCCAGCCACATTGCTCTTTCAGCCACCCAAATCTCATCATGCTGATTCCTGCCCATGAGTCTGTGCCTATGCTATTCCTTTGCCATCCTTCTGGTAAACTCCTATTCAGCCTCCAGAACCCTCTTCAGCAGGCCTTGCTTTGGGAAGTCATCTGGGCACAGACTTACTCTGCAGCCACACCTGTCTGAGTTCAGGGGGGATACCATGTGCAGGTCCCCCAGCTAGACTGTGAACCCCCTAAGGGCAAGATCTGTGTGTTGCTCTGCCCAGGATCCAGGAGATCTAAACTGGAACCCTCCCCCACCATACTAGGAGAACAAGGCTGGTTTGGCTGAGAGGAAGGAGGGCAGGGGTAGGGAGGGGAGATGGACCCAAAGGCACCCTCCCTCCCTACTCCCCCATTCAGCCAGAGCGCCCTGGGCAGGACCACATGGAGGGCACAGCAGGGATGCCAGCTTCCTCATGGGCTGATTTTCTCGTATTGTTGACATGAGATAAGGTGGGGACCAGAGGAGAGACCTCAGCCCAGAGCTGAGCCCTGCTGGCGCTCCAGGTCAAAGGCAGGCCCAGGACCCTCTGATCAGCCTCGAGTGGCTTTCCTTGCTGCAACTGTGGCATCCTGAATGAGGGCCAGGGTTGGGGCAGGAGGCTGGGTCTCTTGGGTCCTTTTCTCCCACAAACTGGCCCCACTGGAGCATTCACACCCGTCTACAAAGAGCATCAAGAACGTTTATTCGTGGAGACTGCCACCTGCATGGCACAGAGAGGTGGGGGGGACCCAGGGAGTATGGGAGGTGTTGGCTGAGGGGCAGGCAGGGGGGGCAAGGTCCTCATGGGTGGTGGCTGGCAGCAAAGTTGCCTCCTGGGAGGGCTCAGGTCCTCCCCCAGCTCCCAGCCCCACTCTGGGCCTGTTTTTCTCAGGATATAGCCACCAAGATGTGTGCCACAATGCACAGCTAATTAAAAAAAAATTGTTTTTAAACTCGGGGATCTCACTATGTTGTCCAGGCTGATCTTGAACTCCTGGTCTCAAATGATCCTTCCACCTTGACCTTCCAAAGCAGTGGAATTACAGCAGAGGCAGACCTTCTGCAACCAGAGCCTGGCTTGGAGACCCACTCTGTCTGCAGCTCCTCCTTGTCCATTCTCAGGCTGGTCTCTGGAGGGGAGGGAGAGGGTAGGGGGCGGCGCCCTGGGGTCAAGCCAGCAGTGGGGTGCGGCTTGCTTGCCCCAGGACAGTCTGTGGAGCCTGCAGGGAGACAGCCAAGAGCAGTGGGTCACTGCCCAGTTCTTCTGCAGCCTCTTGGACACCATTCACTTTTATTTTCAGGATGGGGTGGGCATGAAAAGCAACAGGTCACAGCCTTGTTCTTCTCTTTCCTGGAAGCCTAACGTCCTCCCCTGCCATACCACTCAGCCGCTTGCTCAGGAACCAGCGATTTCCAAGCTCTGGTCTCCAAGGAGGTCAAATAACAATAAAAGGAACAATAATAATGACCTACAAAGACCCCAGTTTCTCCACTTGCCAGCTGTGTGACCTTGAAGAACCGGAACCTCTCTGAGCCTTAATTTCTTCATCTATTAAAAAGAGGGAAGTTGACCGGGCATGCTGGCATCTGCCTGTAATCCCAGCACTTTAGGAGGTAAAGGCTGGAGGATTGCTTGAGCCCAGAAGTTCAAGACCAGACTGGGCAACATACCAAGACCTCCAGCTCTACAAATAATAATAATAATCATAATAATAAAGCAATTAACCAGGCATGGTGGTATGAACCTGTAGTTCCAGTTACTCAGGAGGCTGAGGCAGAAGATTGCCTGAGCTCAGGAGGTCGAAGTTGTGTTGAGCTGTGATCATACAACTGTACTGCTGCCTGGGTGACTCCAACTAAACATTAAAAAAAAAAAAAAGAGGGAAGTTATTACACCTGCCTTGTCGATCTCTCGGGAGGGTTAGATGAGACAGCCACGAGCAAGGGCTTGTGCATCCACAGAGGAGGCCAAGACATGTTAGCTGATAGAAGGTAGAAGGGAGGAGGGAGAGCGGGAGGGCGGGAATGTGGGTCTTGTCTGAGCGGATCAATTGAACAGAGCCACATCTGTCAGCCCCACATTTATAGATGAGGAAACTGAGGCACCATCTTTGGGGTGAAGAGATTTTCAATGTCACACAACCAGCAAGCAGTCGTGAAGCCAAGTGTGATCAGGTCTTCTTCCATGTATTCCTTCCATGCCAACATGCCTTCCACACATTCCTGTCTGTACATGATGCATGTCATCTGACCCTGGGGGCCTCTCCTGCCAACGCAGCATGCCCACCACACCTCAGACAGGAGGGGTTAAATCTCATGCTCCTCTCCCCTCTCCTCTCCTCCCCTCCTCTCTCCTCCCCTCCTTCCCTCCCTCCCTCCCTTCCTTCCAGAGATGGGGGTCTCGCTGTGTTGCTGGGTGGAGTGCAGTGGCATGATCACAGCTCACTGCAGCCTCCAACTACTGGGCTCAAGCAGTCCTCCTGCCTCAGCCTCCCAAGTAGCTGGGAGTATTCGGCCTCCCAAGTAGCATGTGTCACCATGCACAGCTAATTTTAATTTTTTTTGTAGAGATGGGGGTCTCGCAATATTGCCCAGGCTGGTCTCAGACTCCTGGTCTCAAGCAATTCTGCCCCAGCCTCCCAAACCACTGTGATTATAGGCATAAGCCATCACACCCAGCCTTGTCCTCCTTTTTTTTTTTTTTTGAGTTGGGGTCTCACTCTGTCACCCAGACTGGAATGCAATGGCATGCTCCCAGCCACCGCAGCCTCAACCTGCTGGGCTCTGGTGATCCTTCCGCCTCAGCCTTCCAAGTAGCTGGAACTACAGACGCGTGCTACCACACCTGGCTAATATTTTGATTTATTGTAGAGATGAGATCTCGCCAAGTAACCCAGGCGGGTCTCGAACCCACGGGCTCAGGCAATCCACTCACCTCAGCCTCCCAAAGCGCAGGATTACAGGCTGAGCCACTGAGCCCGGCTCATCCTCCTTTCTTGATGCTTGCTTTTTACCCCTTTGCTGGTGGCATCTGATTTTAAGAGCTGGGCCCCCACTGGGAGAACCTCCCTATCGTCTCCCGTGGATAAGCCAAACCCATGCTCACCTGCTTCTCACCTGCCCTGGGAGCTTAAGGTACCAAAGACGCCACAGGCATTGAGGATGCCATGGGTACTGAGGTTACCGAGGATGTCGAGGGCTTGAAGGTGGGGTCCTCATGGATGTAGATAGTGCTCTTTTCTTCCGGTATCTGCAGAGAGAAGAGGCAGACTCTTGAGAGCCTTGCCCCAGGCCAGGCAGGTTGCCCCTGGTGGAACCAGAACAGCCTGGGCAAGCCAGGAGCTGCAAACAGTGTGTGGTGAGCGCCACCTTGTGATCACTGTGCAGATTACATGCCAAGGAGAGCAGAGCCCAGGCATCCTGTCCCCACCCCACATGAGGCACTGTCCTGTGTGCTGGGACACGACAAAGATGAGACAGGTTTTGGCCCCGTGAAAGCAATGGGGAGACATTCCAATGGAACACACAGTGACAATAAGAGTTTTAAGTGCACACAAGGGTTATAATCCAGCCTGGGATTCTGGAAGGTTGTGCTGAACCCACTTTTGAAAGATATATAGGACTGGGCATGCGGACTCATGCCTGTAATCCCAACACTTTGGGAGGCCCAGGTGGGAGGATCGCTTGAGCCCAGGAGGTCAAGGCTGCGATGAGCTATGATTGTGCCATTGCACTTCATCCTGGGTGACAGTGAGACCTGACTCGGGAAGGAAGGAAGGAAAGAAGGAAGGGAAGGAGGGAGAGGGAGAGAGGGAGGGAGGGAGGGAGTGCACCAGGTGAGGGGCAGATGCCAGGTGAGAGGCAGCATAGCAAGCTCCCTGACTTGCAGACAGGTCTAAAAGTGGGGTACAGAGAGGTGCGAGGAAGACTGGAGGTGAATGGGGAGGTGGATCAGCCCTGCCTTGGCCTCATAAAGACAGCCTCATCTGTGGTCCTGGGCAAATCTGTCTAATCCCCATCTTCAGGGAAGGCACCTCACTCCCAGATAGATCACCAGGGGGCCTTGGGGACTGCTGATGGTGTTCACTTCCCTTGCCATGGTGATTATTATTCCCAACCAAGCACTTCATATCCATGGGTTCTGTATCAGTAGGTTCAACCAACCATGGGTAGAAACATTCAGAAAAATCGGTTAGGTACGGTGGCTCATGCCTGTAATCCCAACACTTAGGAAGCCGAGGCAGGAGGATTGCTTGAGCCTAGGAATTTGAGACTAGCCTGGGCAACATAGTGAGACCTCATCGCTACAAAAAAAAAAAAAAAATCTAAAGATCAGCTGGGTGTAGTAGCATGCACCTATAGTCCTAGCTACTCAGGAGCTGAAGAGGGAGGATCCTCTGAGCTAGGAGGTCAAGGCTGCGGTAGCTATGAATGTGCCACAGCACTCCAGCCTGGGTGATAGAGTGAGACCTTGGCTCAAAAAAAAAAAAAAAAAAAGAAAGGAAGGAAAAGAAAATATTCAGAAAAAAGCAACAATAAAAGCATCAATACAATAATAGGAATAATACAAATAAACAATACAGCATTATAAGTAATCTAGAGATGATTTAAAGTATTTGGGAGAATACACATAGGTTTATATGCAAATAATGCCTTTTTATACCAAGGACTTGAGCATCCCAGTGGGGGATTCTAGAACCAACCCCAGGATACTGAGGGATGGCAGTGCTGCTCCAGGTATACAGCTGAGAGGTGTGAACTTGGAATAAATTATAAGGATCAAAACAGAACAAGAGTAAACTTATACATGTGGGAACTGATAACATTTCTGATTTATTTTATTAGCATCAAATCTGCAGGTCGCTAATTGTGGTGTCTAAAATAGTTTAAGTTCTGACTTTAAAATATAGACTGGAAGTAATTAGGTTGTGAAAAAAGCAAGTTTATTAAGACTGTAATAACACAGAGCAATTCTTGTGATAGGTAAAGAGAAGAAACAGGATACTAAATTGGATGTACAATATGATCTCCACTGGGTAAGAAAAATCCATGCAGATAAAAAAAATGGACAGGAAATAACCCAAAAAATTTTAACTGTGCTTGAATTAGAGTGATAGAATTTCTTTCTATTTTTCTGTATTTCCAGATTTTCTCTAATGAGCTTCCAGTCATTAAAAAAATTAAAAAGCGTTCATTTAAAAGACTTATTAGTTATGTGCATGAGATTGGTTTATAGAGGATAGTACTTAAAATTACCCAGAAAACTTCTGGCATGGTTTTAAAAATACAGAGCCAAATGAAAGGCAGTTATGGATGGTCCCTTGTCCCAGGGACCACAGACACTGGCAGGTCCTAGCCCTTGTCAAGAGGGGGCTTCTGCCACCCTCCTTCCTCAGATGTAGGCAGGTACCTCCAATAATGACCTGTGGGGAGAGAGGCCTGCTAGAAGTCACAAGTGGTGGCATGTTTTTTAAAGAAACTGAGCTCTGCAACATTCCACCACTTACAGCAACCAGAAACTTATTTCTCAAGTTGGAATTTTGTGCCGACGCTCTCCTTGAAGCTAACAGTGGTGGAATGTCTCAGAATAGTTTTCTTTAGAAATCACCTGGGAGGCTTGGGGGCCAAGGCGAGTGGATTGCCTGAGCCCGCGGGTTCGAGACCCACCTAGGCAACTTGAAGAGACCTCATCTATACAATAAATCGAAAATTTAGCTGGGTGTGGTAGCACGCACCTATAGTTCTGGCTACTTGGAAGGCTGAGGTAGAAGAATCTTCGGAGCCCAGCAGGTCGAGGCTGCGGTGACAGGGAGTGTGCCACCGCACTACAGTCTGGGCGACAGAGTGAGACTCCAACTCAAAAAAAATAAAAAAATGCTAATGTCCAGGTCCTAGCCCAGACCAATCTTCATTTCCAAGACTCTGTGGGCTGAGACCTGGGCTTTGGAATGCTTTAAAACAGCGGCCCTCAGCCTTTTTGGCATCAGGGACTGGTTTTGTGGAAGACAATTTTTCCACAAATGGGGACTGTGGGCGGGGGGAGGGATGTGCAGTCAAACTTCCCTGCTCATGTTAATCTGTATTTGCTGCTGCTCCCCAGGGCTAGCATCACCACCTCAGCTCTGCCTCAGGTCATCGGGCATCAGGTTTTCATAAGGAGAATACAACCTAGATACGTCGCATGTGCAGTTCACAGTAGGGTTTCGCTCCTAGGAGAATCTAAGGCCACCGCTGATCTGACAGAAAGCAGAGCTCCACTGGCCTGCTGCTCACCTCCTGCCATGTGGCCTGGTTCCTAACAGGACACAGGTTAGTACCAGTCTGCGGCCTGCTGCTTTAAAGCTCCAGTTGAATCTGATACATAGCTAAGGACTAAGAACTGCTGGTCAAGTGCAATGTCTCTCAGCTGTGTCTTTCTTTCCTTTTTCTTTTTCTTTTCTTTCTTTTTTTTTTTTGAGTTGGAGTCTCACTCCATCGCCCAGACTGGAGTGCAGTGGCACGCTCCTGGCCACTGCAGCCTCGACCCACTGGGCTCCGGCGATCCTTCCACCTCAGCCTTCCAAGTAGCTGGAACTACAGGTGCGCGCTACCACGCCCAGCTAATTTTTTTTTTTTAATTTATTGTAGAGATGAGGGCTCACCAAGTTGCCCAGGCAGGTCTCAAACCCGTGGACTCAGGCAATCCACTCACCTCAGCCTCCCAAAGCGCGGGATTACAGGCTGAGCCACCGAGCCCGGCTCTCTCTTTTTTCTTTTTTAAGTCAGTTTCACTCTGTCACCCAGGCTTGAGTGTAATGGCATGATCATGGCTTACCACAGCCTCTGCCTCCTGAGCTCAGGTGGTCCTTCTGCCTCAGTCTCCCAAGTAGCTGAGTCTACAGGTGTGTGCCACCACACCTAGCTAATTTTTTTCTTTTTTCTGTAGTGATGAGGTCTTGCTGTGTTGCCCAGGTTGGTCTTGAACTCCTGGGCTCAAGCAGTCCTCCTCCTTGGGCTTCCCAGAGTGCTGGGATTACAGGTATGAGCCACCACACCCAGCCACAGCTGTGCTTTTCTTTTCATCAGAATCACCTGGAAGCCTTGTTAAAACAGAGGCGCTCTGGGTAGGACTTGAGGATGTGCATTTCTAAGTCCTCAGGTGATGCTGCTGCTGGGGCCATCTATGGGAGTCACTGTTCTAGAAGGAAGCTGACCGAGTCCTTTAGGGACAAGAGTAAACTCCAGCTGCACCCCTGACCATAGGTTACTTCTGTGGCTCCCCAGGGTATGTACAAAGAGAGGTTCGCGCCACTCCCTCCACATCCTGGGCTCCAGAGAGGAGAGAAGGGGAGGGAAGAGCCTTCAACCCTTGGGGGGGACACAGCCTCCCAGGTGAAGGGGCAGGGTGAGGTAGGCTCTGTCCTCCACCCCCGGCTTCTGGCTCCCCAGGTCCCAGCCCAGCTGCTACAGGCAGGGGAGTGGGTGGTGCAACTGCCCTCGTGGGGGATGGGGTGGTGGGAGGGGAGACCAGTCTACAGAACTCACCTCCCAGTAGATGTCATCCTCAAAGCAGTTCTCATCAGCGGCTTGTCCCCAGAATGGTAATCTCAAAATGAACCCTAAAGAAAGTCAGAGGGCAGAGGAGATCAGGAAGCACATTATCTCCGCCCACCCCAATCACACCCCTTGGCTGGGAAAGTCCCTCCTTGGGGGCTTTGGGCAGAGGCCCAAATCTCCCTGCTCCCGCAGCCAGAAGCGCAGAGAGAAGGGGTTCCAGGGAGCTCTAGGCTGACCCCACCCAGGTAGCCCTGCAGCAGCCCCAGCCTCTCTAGCCCCACCCCTCTCACTCACCCATGACGATGCCACCCATCAGGGCCATGGCCAGGGTCACCAAGAGGCCATAAACCTGGAACTTGCCCTGCGTTCTTGGGGTCCAGCCCTCCTTGAAACCTTGAAAGTCAAAGGAATGGACAAGCCTGGGGTGGAGACAGGGGGCAGATCAGGTCCCCACGGCAAGGCCAAGTGACCACTTGCTGCCACCCTGCAGATGTGAGCAGGTCCCGTGGGCCTCAGCTTCCCGTCCACAGTATGGGGCCTGGGACATATCAATGGGTCGCCAAGGCTTTTGTGGAGGGAGAAAGTTTGGGGAGAAAGGCCCATGAAACAACTGGTCCAGACTAGGGAAGGAAGGGAAGACAGACAGAGGAATAGCAAGAAGGTGGAAGGGAGAAGGCAGGGGGTACGCCATTCCCCTGCACCCCTTCCCCCCACACACACACTTACCCTTCTAGGCCATAGGCTTCGGGGCTGGCGCAGGCGGCGGTCACGGCTCCCACGATGCCACCGATGATGCCAGGAAGGCCATGCAGGTTGTGAATCCCACATGTGTCCTGGATCTGCAGCCGGGACTCCAGGAATGGCTGGGGGTGGGATGGGGTGGGGTGAGTGCCTCTCAAGCCGGGTTGCAGTAGGGGTGTGGGGAGGCGGGATGCTGGAGGAATCCCCCCAAATACACAGAGACCCAGGATTCTCCAGCCCCCGTCCCTCCCAGGAATCCAAAGACCTCAGCGTTCCCCAGCCCTAGCCTCACCGTCAGGTACACAAAGCCCAGGGTGGAGACCAGGCCACAGATGAAGCCGACAATGAGGGCACCATAAGGCATAAGCATCAGTTCAGCGGCGGTGCCCACGGCCACTCCTCCCGCCAATGTGGCATTCTGGATGTGCACCTGGGCAGGGCGGGCAGAACGGGCAGGAACTCAGGCACTCTCCCTGGGGCACCTGCCTGGGGGAGCTCACTTGCTGGGACCCAGGAACTAGGGATGACCCAGAGTCCACCTTAGCAAGCCAGAGGCATGCAGGGGCACCAGCTTGGACCTGGGCTTGGGGCAGTCACCCCTGGGTTCTCTGCACATGCCACCCACCCAGCAGTTCTGGGCATTACCTGAGTGCACATACATGGCAGTGTGCTCTGTACCTGTGAGCCCTGACAGCCATCGTTGTTGGCTTTTTTTTAAAGTCATGTCTCACTCTGTTGCCCAGACTGGAGTGTGGTGGCATGATCACCGCTCACCGCAGCCTCAAATTCCTGGGCTCAAGTGATCCTCTCATCTCAGCCTCCTGAGTAGCTGGGACTACAGACGTGCACCACCATGCCTGACTAATTTTTTTAATTTTTAAAAAGTTTTGTAGAGATGAGGTCTCTCTATGTTGCCCAGGCTGGTCTTAAACTCCTGAGCTCAAGTGATCCTCCCGTCTTGGCCTCCTGGAGTGCTGGGATTACAAGGTGTGACCTGACCATGTGTTTGCTTTGTATGTTCATGTATCCCTGTGTGCCCAGCCTCGCATGTCAGAATGTTCCCTACAGGTATGTGTGTCTGTGCTGGTGCTACTGGGGCCTAGATGTGACTGCATGCTAGCTGCTGCTCTAAAGTGCCAGCCTGCTGTGGAGACTTGTTCATCTTGTCTCCACAAAAAGCCTGCGAGGAGAAGACAGCCATTTCTTGACATTTGCAGATGGAGAAACTGAGGTAAAGGGAACGTCAGTGACTTGTTGAAGACTATAGTGCTTGCAAGAGGCACAAGGATGTCTCCATCCAAGTCTGCATGGAGTTAGAACTGACCCTGACCGCATTCCATGGTTCTCCCTGCAAGTGGGCTCGGATACCCTCAGGTGTGCCCATGTGTCTCATGCTCTTCCTCCTGAGGCCTGAGCCCCCACTTCTCTGCATGGTGACAGTGTCCCCATGTGACAGGTACTGCTGACAGTGTGTATCAGGATATGAGATAGAGAGTTTGTGTCCTTCTATTTTTTTTTTTTTTAAAGCAGCAATCCTTCCACCTCAGCCTTCCAAGTAGCCGGAACTACAGGTGCCCGCTACCATGCCGGGCTAATTTTTTTCTAATTTATGGTAGAGATGATGTCTCGCCAAGTTGCCCAGGCTGGTCTCCAACCTGAGGGCTCAAGCAATCCGCTCGTCTCAGCCTCCCAAAGCATTGGGATTACAGGCTGAGCCACCGAACCCAGCCCTTATTTTTCTTTCTATAGAAGAATCTGCCAACACCTTTGGTCTGGTTCCTCCTATTAATGACAGAAACTGCTACTGCAGTGGTGTGCTTGGAAGGACACTGTGCAACACATTACTCCCAAAGCTTCCCCAGTGCAGGAGCCAAAGCGTGAAAGGGATTGCCCCGTGTGTGGGGTGAGGTAGGCAGGGCATCTGGAGGGATGAGTGCCCCCCCCACCACAGCCCAGCTGGGCAGGCCTCATACAATGCTCAGTCCCGACTAGCCATCAGCACCCCAGGCTGTGGGGCAGGGCAATGAAGAGGAGGAGCCAGCTTCTGCAGCGTAACTGACATAGCCGAACTTCCCAGAATCTGGTTCTGAGCTAAAAACTGACGATGTGCTCTGGGCAAATTATTTCTCCCTGAGTCTCAGTTTTTTCATCTGCAAGATGGGTGCACTGATCCTGAAGGTGTTGACAGGGCACAGTGATCAGCATCTACCAGGTCCCGGCAGCCAGAGCCACACCTCCCCCCAGGTCCCCACTGCTCACCATGTCCAGCTTGCCTTTCTTGTGCAGGGCACTGGACATTGCCACTGAGGTGAGCACGCAGGCTGCCAAGGAGCAGTAGGTGTTGATGACGGCTCGGTGCTGGCTGTCCCCGTGGTAGGAAATGGCTGAGTTGAAGCTGGGCCAGTACATCCACAGGAAGAGGGTGCCTAGGGCAGACCAGACAGGGCCAGTGGGCCTGGGAGGAGAGGCATTAGAGGGGGCCCAGCCGCTAGGCAGAGTCCTGTCCTTTAGCTGGAGACGACCCTGTACCTAGCTGTTTCCACTTTGGCGGCTTGTCTCCTAGGGGGTCTCCCTAGAAGGCCCTCCCTTCCTTGCTCACCTACTTAAGCCCTGCTGAGCCTTCCACTCCATGCCAGGAGGTCTACCCTGACCCCCATGACTGCACTGAACGCCTACCCCCTGTTCCCACAGCGCCGTGAAGGAGAATCTTTTCTCTACAATGGGAAGGTCTCTGGGTGGCCTAGCTGTCTCTCCCATGGCACTGGAGGAGCTCCTGGAGGGCTGGGCTGGATTTTAAAAGGCCAGATGAGTGTGGTTAACATGTTCTCTGGAATGAGTGGACACAGGAAGTAGGAATGCACACCCTGCCCAGCCCAGGGCGGAGTGGCCAGTTCCTGGTTACCACTGTGTCTGCTTGGAGCATTCTAGGAAAAACACAGGAGTGACCAACTTCTTTCAGCCCCATAGGGATCCCACAGACCTTGGGATCTTGAAGTTTCTATAGGTGACCTCCTTCTGCTCTTCCCCCAGAGGTAGCCAACCACCAGACCACGTGGGGAGCAGGTATGAGCATGCTGGCTTGAACTCATCATGGTGGTTCTCACCCATCATGACAACCCTTACCAATCATGATGGTCCTCACCTATCATGGCCACCTTCACCCCCATGGTGGCCCTCAGTCATTATAGTCACCTTCATCCTCCATGGCCACCTTCACCCATCATGGTGGTCCTCACCCATCATGGAGGACATCACCCATCATGGCACCCTCATTAATCATGGTGGCCCCCAGACATGGTGGTCCTCACTCATCAGGGTGGTCCTCACCCATCACGGAGGCCCTCACCCATCATGGTGGTGCTCACCCATCGTGGTGCCCTCACCCATCATGGTAGCCCTCAGCCATCATGGCAGCTCTCACCAATCATGGCAAAGAGGTCCGAGTGGTACACAGAACTCTGTCTCTCCTTGCTCTGCTCTAGGTTGCGTCGGTAGAGGATCCGGGTCACTGTGAGCCCAAAGTAGGCGCCAAATGTGTGGATGGTCATGGAGCCGCCTGCATCCTTCACCTGGATGCAAGGGACCTGTCAGACTCGGGCACCTTCTCTCCCTCCCTCCTCAAAGTACTTCACACACACACACACAGCTCCAGGTATCTCTGACTCTTTGGAGTGCAGGATGGCTCTTGAGGGCCCCACAGACCAGGCTAGGAGAAAGACTTGCTTGACCATGCAGCTGGAAGGGGCGAAGCAGAGTTAGAACCCAGGGCAACCCCCTATCTAGTTTGTCACCCACTGGCTTCCCCTTTATCTCAATTCCCGGGTACTCTCCCCTCCCCTCAGATCTCTCCTTTCCACACTTTGTTTTACGCAACCATTCCTGGTTCGAGCCCATCCTGCAGATGGCCATTATCCACCTTCCCCTGAGCCTGTCATGCTCATGCTCTCCAATCCTCCTGCCACCCTCCCCAACCTTTCCCTCCCCTCCCCTCCTGGCGATCCAAAGTCAGAGCAGGCCAAGTTGGTCTCGTTCTCCCTGCCCCTTCCTGGGCCCCTGTCCTGCACCACACTGTGCCTCTCCCATGACTCCTTTAGGGCTCAAGCTCCTCATGTACAAAGTGGGAGATTGCTGGGCATAGTGGTTCACTCCTGCAATCCCAGCACTTTGGGGGTGGAGGTGAGAGGATTGCCTGAGGCCATGAGTTTGAGACCAGTCTGGACAACTTGGCGAGACCTCATCTCTACAATAAATAAAAAAATTAGCTGGGTATGGTGGCATGTGCCTGTGGTTCCAACTACTTGGAAGACTGAGGCAGAAGGATCACCTGAGCCCAGTAGGTAGAGGCTACGGTGGCAGTGAGCATGCCACTGCACTATAACCTGGGTGACAGAGTGAGATTCTGACTCAAAAAACAAAAAATAAAAAACAAAAACCCCCCGAAAAAACAAAGCATGAGAACACATGACTTACAGGGCTGTCATCAGGGTTAAAGTGGACAACTTGCACAGAGACCCTGACCAGAGCCTGGCACTCCACAGGTGTTTGATTCACATGGGCTCACCTCTCCCTCTTCAGCCTTCTCTTCCTCTCACTAAGAACCAATCTCAGAGAAAGAGAATCACAGTCTCAATCCTTCACTTTAGATGGGGAAACCCAGAAAGGTGAGTGTGTCATCCAAGATCACAGAGTTGGTTGTTGACAAGGCTGGGTTTCTTGATTCCCAGCCTAGTGGGTGCCTCTACTAGCTTGTGACCTTGGGTGAGTTCCTTAACCCCTCTGAGTCTCAGCTTTTTTATCTGTAAAATGGGGGTAATAATTGTGCCTATGTCAGAGATAAGGATTATGAGAGATAACCCATGGGAAGCATTCAGATCTGGGCCCAGCAAAGGACCAGTGCTTCTCATATGTCAACAGTGGTTATCACTTTAATTTTTTTGAATCAGTCTCACTGTCTCCCAGGCTAGAGTGCAATGGCATGATCACAGCTACACAGACCTTGGGATCTTGAAGTTTCTATAGGCAACCTCCCTCTGCTCTTCCCCCAGCGGTAACCACCCACCAGACCACATGGGGAACAGGTATGCTGGCCTGAGTTCATCATGGTGGTTCTCACCCATCAAGACAACCCTTACCAATCATGATGGTCCTCACCTATCATGGCCACCTTCACCCCTCATGGTGGCCCTAAGTCTTGACCTGGTGGGTTCGGGCCATCCTTATGCCCCAGTCTCCCAAATAGGTAGGGCTACAGGTATGTGACACCACGTCCAGTTAATTTTTTAAAATTTATTATAGAGACGAGATCTCGCCACGTTGCCCAGGCAACTCTCAAGCTTCTGGGTTCAGGCAATCCTTTCGCCTCAGCCTCCCAAAAACTAGGATTACTGACATGAGCCACCACACCCTGCCAGTTATTATTTTTAAACTTATTTCAAGAGACTGGGCAAAAGTGAGGCTGAAGGACTGCCATGCATTAAAAAAATTCCTGGAGCAGATCAGGGAGGGTTTTTGAGGGCCACCAGAGCATCCCCTGCCTCAGAACTCACCCCAAGATACTACCTTCTTGACCATTCCAGATCTTGCGCCCAGCCCCACAGTCTACCCTGCAGCAAGCCCAGCACCTTCCTCTCCTGCCTCCCCTCACCACTCATCTCCAGGCCTGTTAGTCTCTCCCTCATTTCTCTTGACACCTCCACGTTCTTTTCACCGTGCTAACACAGTTCTAGCCCCTATGGTCTCTAGCCATGGTGACCAAGACAGCCCCTTCACCGAGCTTCCTGCCTCCCCAGTTTCTCATCACCACAACCAAGTTACATGTCCTTATGTGTGTCTGACCGTGCATCTCCCTGCTTAGCTCTCCTCTGCCCTCATGACCCAGTTGAGGCTCAACAGTCTCCAGGAGCCCTGATGATCTGTGCTTGAATGCCCTCACTCGCTCCTTTGCCTGGCTAGCTTCTAGGTGACTTCCTGTTTTGACTGCTCTTCCTCCAGGAAGCCTCCCTGACCTGCCAGGATGGCTCAGGTACTCTCCTCTAGGCCACCTAGCCCCAAGCTCACTCCTCATTGCAGTGCCTGGTCACCGTCTACTTACTTCCTCGTTCCCTCACTAGACCACAAGCTGCTTGGGGCCTAAGTGCCAACCCCGCTCCTCTCTGTGTCCCAGAGCTTGGCACGATCTCTGAGGTGCAGGCAGACTCCAATGTTCAATCACTGGACAAATGTTTATTGAGCATCTGTTGGACACCAGGCTAGGCGCTGGGAATAGGGAGATGCAGAGGGATGAGGCTTCTGCCCTTATCGGATGAGGTAAGTGCCATGGAGAAGATCATCCAAGGCCATGTGCGAGGATGATGGAGAGGATGGGGGGGCATGATGGTGGGTAGAGGAATCTCTGAAGCCCTTCTAAAGAGGGGATACGCATGCTGATACCTTAATAACAAAAATAATTGAGTTGGCCATTGTGGCTCACACCTGTAATCCCAGCACTTTGGTAGGCCAAGGTGGTAGGATTGCTTGTGCTCAGGAGTTTGAGACCAGCCTGGGCAACTTAGCAAGACCTTGTCTTTACAAAAGTCAAAAAAGTTAGCCAGCAGTGATGGCATGTACCTGTAGTCCCAGTTACTTGAGAGGCTGAGGCTGAAGGATCACCTGAGCACAGACGGTCAAGACTCCGGTGAGCCATGATCATGCCACTGCACTCCAGACTGGGTGACAAAGGGAGACCCTGACTCACACCACACACACACACACACACACACACACACACACACACACACACACACACAACTGAAAAGCTGGGCATTGGTGGCTCATGCCTATAATCCCAACATTTTGGGAGTCTGAGGTGGGAGGACAGCTTGAGCCCAAGAGTTTGAGGTCAGTTTGGGCAACATAGAGAGACCTGGTCTCTACAAAAAATCAAAAACTTAGCCAGGCATGGTGGTGCACACCTGTAGTCCCAGCTTCTTGGGAGGCTTAGGTAAGGATCACTTGAGCCCACAAGGTCAAGGCTGTTGTGAGCCATGGTTGTACCAATGCACTCCAGCCTGGGTGACAGAGTGAGACTGTGACTTTAAAAAAAAAGTCCGGATTTTATTCTAAGTGAAATTTTAAAATCACTGCTAGGTTTCCCTCAAGGGAAGGGGCTGATGTCCATTCTTTCACAGGCCACTCTGGCTGCTGGGGGTGATTGGCCTGAGGGTGTGAATGAGGCAAGAATGAAGTCAGGGAGAGGAGTAGGTAGGAAGAGATAGGTAGCCTGGATTAGTTAGGTGGCTAGAAAAAATGACAAAATGAATGCTTGAGCTTAGGGTGGACCAAGCCCCTCCTACCAGGGGAGTGGTCCAGGCAGAGTCCAAATGTATAAGAGAAGGGGGTTAAGAAATGCATACGCTGGGCTTGGTGGCTCAGCCTGTAATCCTGCGCCTTTGGGAGGCTGAGGTGAGTGGATTGCCTGAGCCCGCGGGTTCAAGACCCGCCTGGGCAACTTGGCGAGACCTCATCTCTACAATAAATAAAAAAAAAAAAAATTAGCTGGGCGTGGTAGCGCGCACCTGTAGTTCCAGCTACTTGGAAGGCTGAGGCAGAAGGATCGCCGGAGCCCAGCAGGTCGAGGCTGCGGTGGCCAGGAGTGGCCCCTGCACTCCAGTCCAGGCGAGAATGAGACTCCAACTCAAAAAAAAAAAAAAAAAAAAAAAAAAAAGAAATGCATACAGTTCTTGGATGACACCCACCACTCTGCCCTAAGGCACTAAGGAGGTTTCTGAGATAGAGTCAAAGGACTAGGGGTACCCTTTATCTCAGTCATCAAATTGAGTAGCCCCAGGGGACAGCATTCATGTCATAATCCATGTGAATGGCAGCTCTGGGGTTGTGCAGTACACAACCTGTGCAGCTGCTCATGGCCACTTTGGCCACTCCCCTACAATCCTTCCTTACAGATTTTCTCCCTTGATACAATGTGTCCTTTTTTTCTTGGCAATCTGGATATGTGGTAAGTATGCAAGAGTATGTGCCAGAATATCCCACTCCTTCTATCTGATGTGCCGGAAGGAGAAAAAAGGAGAAAAACCAACATTCAAGGAACCCTGCTCTGCCCAGGTGCTGGGTTGGTGTGCTAGTAGGACCACTGTACCTGCCTAATGCCCACTTTAGAGATGAAGAAATTGAGGTTGAGGAGGTTCAGCAACCTGCTAGGCTGGTATGTCCTCCCAGCCCTTTCTCTCTATTCCCCTGCGGCCCACTCAAGTGTCCCCTCTACCCTCAGCCCCATCCTGAGCGCTGCTCACCTGTAGCAGGTCGAGGAGAATGAACTCATTCACTGAGAAGAGGGTCACTTGGAACAGAGTCATGATGAGCAGCTGGATAGGGCTCACTTTGCCCAGAACTGCCCCAAAGGCCACGCAGACAGAGGCCACGCAGAAGTCAGCGTTGATGAGGCTGTGAGGAGACAGGCCAGGGGATGACTGGGCAAAAAGTGGCACTGGAAACCCTGGGTTTGGATCTGGACTTTGGTCATCTATGAGGCTTAACTTCTCTGAGCCTCAGTTTTGTCTTCTGCAACCACAGACTCATAATGTGTAGGGCTAGTCCAGGGACTAGAAGAAACAGCACGTGTGAAGTGCCCAGCACAGCAGAGGCACACACTGGATGCCACCCCCTTCCATGGCAGTCCCCTCTCAGGTCCCCACTGCTGGGGTCTGGCTGCCAGTGTTGAAATGCCCCACATCTGGAGCCCTGCTTTGCCTCTGTCTTCTACCTGTCTTTCCAGAACCTCCTCTCACTGCCTTCTCTTTCAAGAAGTCTTCCTGATTCCTCCAACCAGATGTGGTTTCTGCCTCCAAACCCTCATCTCTCACTCTGCACACACCTCTCCTGCTGGTCTTGCTTGGGTTTGAGTCATTGGGACCTTCCCTTCATCTTACCCATGAGACAGGATCCACACCCAGGAGAGAGGACTTCCTGCAGGAATTAGGGAGCTGGGGTGGGACTGGGTGGAAGGAGGGCACAGGGAAGCCAACAGAGAGAATGGGGGCACAGGGGCAGGCATAGAGGCTCTCCTCAAGCCTGGACTCTGAATGCAAAGCCAGTCCAGCCGATGAAGAGACAGCTAGGTGGCATTGTGTGGCCACAATAGATTCTAGTTCCATCCACATGCCCACTTTGTCTGACCCAGGCCTCCTTGTGCCCAGCAGGAAAGCAGTCCTCTGGATTCCAAGGCAGTCCCTCAGTGTGGCTCTTGGGACCATGAAAGTAGTTAAGGAGTGGGTGTAGGGATAAAAGGGGCTATTTCCTCAAAGGTGTCACAACTAGAGGAGACCCCCCTTCCCCACATGTTCAGGGGTGTGGGTGAGAGATAATCGGGGTGAGAAAAAAATTAAGTTAATGTTAGGGCCAGTTTGTGGAGTGGGGGCTGGGTCCCTCCCAAAACAGTGTTCACTGGATGTCCACCCACTACTGCCTTGATCACCGCTGTGTCCTCAGGGCCTGGCTGAATGAACAATGATGGTTACTAAGTGCCAGGCATTAGGATAACTGCTAAGTACTGCTCATGCCTTCCTGTATCATGGTGGAACCGTACAGACCAGGCACTATCACTAGCCACGCATTTGGATGGGACATAGAAACTCAGAGAGGTTGGGTTATTTGCCCAAGGTCCCATAACTACAGGCAGAAAACCCATCTTGATGGACATGACCATTAGAAAGGATACAGAAAGAGTCAGAAAGAGAAAACCCAACACTTTGGGCCATCAGCACCTAGGAGAGGATGCTACATCTCAGAAAGGCCCAAGGAGGTTTGGGCAGGGCCTTCCAAGGAGCACTTCCCTAAGAGTGATAGGGACCTGGAGGATTCTTCAGCAGGGACAGGACAGAAGCCAGGGGCAGGGTCCATGTCTCTGGATCTACAAGGTCAGGTCTGGGGACAACATGCTCATCTCAATCCCTGAGCACCAGAAACTGATTTCGGGCCAGGTGTTGAAAATCAATCCTCCAACAGCCAATTTGCCAAACTCAATTTTTCAAGTGACCAACTTGCTGACTAGCTGGCTCATCAAAACTTGTTAACTCACAAAGTGTGTAATAATTCCCTTTGAAGATTTTTTAAATTGCGTATTTTTTCACTTAGCTGTAGCTATTTTGCTGTGGTGGCCAATTAAACATATTACAGGTGTTTTTCTACTTTGGGTCTATGACTTTGGGAATGAAAATTTCTTGTGCATTTTGAACTGCAGGGTGATATGCATGTCAAGGATTTTTTTTTTTTTTTTTTTTTGAGTTGGAGTCTCATTCTGTTGCCCAGACTGGAGTGCAATGGCCACTCCCGGCCACCACAGCCTCGACCTGCTGCTGGGCTCTGGCGATCCTTCCGCCTCAGCCTTCCAAGTAGCCAGAATTATAGGTATGCGCTACCACGCCCAGCTGATTTTTTTTTATTTATTGTAGAGATGAGGTCTCGCCTGCCCAGGCGGGTGTCGAACCCGTGGGCTCAGGCAGTCCACTCACCTCAGCCTCCCAAAGGCATGGGATTACAGGCTGAGCCACCGAGCCCGGCTTGTCACGGATTTTATATACAAAAAGACTGACACATTGGTTCCAACACATATCTGGTTAACTGTCTTTCCTGTTTCTCTTAATTCATGGATTAATTAGCTGGCTTGAATGTAAGTTTTGCAAATATTTGGCATGTGCTTTAAATTTCAGACACCTGGCTGGTGTCCTATATGAGACAGTAAGGGTCTGCCCTTTAAATGTGATTTTATACCAGCTTGACTCTAAGACCATTCTACAGACTTCGTCTGTGATTCAGTTAATGAATGTTCATTTTTACACACCAATGATGACTTTCTCAACTTAAAAAAAGTTTTCCTTTAGCCAAACATGTCATATGTCTACAAAAATAGAAGACTGTCTAAACTGGACTTACCATGCCACACAAATTGCTATAGGTTTCCTAAGCTGTCATGGGAAAGGGTTTGATAAATGAGACGTTCAGTGAGCTGACCACTCTGCACATTGATTTTTGGTGAGTTGACTTTGGTTTATTTATTTTATAACTTGGTGGTGGTGGTGTATGGCAGGGAGGCATGTTGGGGCTTGGAGGAGGTCACCTCAGAGGGAGGGACTGAGCTTCCTGATGGGAGGGGGTGGTGGTTCTCATCAGACCAAAAGGTTATCAAAGAGAAAAGGCATTAGAAGAATGGAGGTGAGAAGAGATGAAGGAAAGGTGCCCCACCCTTGGAGGCTGAGGCAGGGAGGAGCCTTACGCTCCATACCCACATGCATCTCACATCCCTTTCCAATACCTGTTCCGGGGTAAGGGGGGATTGGCGCGGGGTGGGGGGAGGCACAAGGCAGGGAGAGGCACCTCCATTTGGCTGGATCCCTCGTTGGTGTTCCCTCCACAATGAACCTCTGATTCTGGCTCAGGCACCCGGCCCTCCCACTAGGGTCCTGGGGACTGCTGTCTCTCAGGGTACAGGGCTGGAAAATTCTGATGTGCTGAGGTGGAGGGCCTGGGCCCAGCCGCCAGAGAAAGGTCTGGCCTCGAGGCCCTGCAGTCTTTGTTGTAGGGGGAGGGAGAACGTCCTGTGGCACCTGGGCGCCATTAGAACCCGCACCGGATGATCAGGAAATAAGTGAGAGAGAGAGAGAGAGAGAGAGAGAGAGAGAGAGAGAGAGAGAGAGAGACAGAGAGAGAGAGAGAGAGAGAGAGAGAGAGAGA